ACCTGTGAATGTAATTACAAAACTGTGTCAACTGGAATTCATCCTGCACAAGCACATCACTCTCTACTGAGACAATAACTTAATAACGCAAAATATATTTTAACTGATATTTTTTGATGATATAATTGATTTTTTTTAATATCTAATATAGTTGATATTAGATATTTTAAAACAAATTAATTAGTATTAGATATTATTTATGAATTTTATGTTATACTTTAAACATTTGCATCATCTATGATATTGAAAAATTATTCTAGTTTTGAATTTATTTTGTGCAACGTTTTAGTTTTAATTATGATAGACATATCTGGTTCATTATGGCATATACGATGAAATTTGTAAGTTAATGCATACTAGAGCTGTGCGGGTGTTTATATATATATATATATATATATATTTAACTATATAAATTATTTTTAAACATCTAAGTTTTATAGTTTGTTTGTTTTATTTACTTAATTATTTCAAACTCACATGCATTTGTTACTTTTTTATATATATATATTTTGTTGGATTTGTGTTTAATTATTTGACAAACTAATATATGCAAAGTTCTAAAAATTTGAAAAATTATTTTATATTTCCTTCTCTATTATTAAATCTAATAAATGGATCCAATTTCAGTTTAAGTTATAAGTAGTAGTAAGAAAATAACTTTTGTTTAGCAATTTTTTTGGACTTGTATGATAGATTTAAAATATTCATATACACCAATCTTTAAGCATTTAATATTAGATATTTTTAAAATGATAAAATAAATGATTAAATATTAAATAATATTTTGTTTTTGTTTTTATTTTTAATATATTAAATTGAAGGTATATTATTAGAACATAAATTTTATGTAATGTAATTCAAACATACATAAATTTAAATTGGGATTTATATAATATAGAAATCTTCTTATATATTAAATTAACATATATCTTATAAATGAGACAATATAGTATGTCAATATAGTATGGCTTATTACTAATTAATAATTAAATTATCTTATTCTCAAAAGTCATAAAACATATATTTTTGGGGAAAAAAACATGTGTACGTTTCTCAATCTAACAAAGATTTTAACCTTTTTTATTGTTGAATATTTTTTTCTGCCTATATTATAAATATATAACTTTGATATTATCTTAAACATTTTAAATATATGATTAGCATTTTAATGCTATATATAATGTAATTATATAGTTTTATTGTTTTATTTATTTGACATTATTAATACACACAGATTTTTTATACATTTTAAATTGCCATAAATTGTTATTACATAAAAACATAATTTTAAATTCGGTACAATAAATTAATAATTTGAAATAATCAAAGAGAATTTGCACCCTTTATACACACAAAACACCAAAATTAAGGATATACCCTATTTCACCCTGTCTCTCTCCTCTCTATTTACCATTTTTTCCCCCAATGTTAAGGTATCTCTCCTTTTTATGATATTTAGCTAATTTACTCATAATCAAATAGGTAACCCTTTTCAAAAAAAAAAAAAATTATACATTTTTCTACAGTTTGCAAGCAAAATATTTTTAAATTTTATTTAGTTATACAATAAAATAGATATTTGTTTAGGATCATTTATATTTTATGGTTGTGTTTAAAATATATAATTTACCATCTATAATTTTAGTATGTAATTATATTGTTATATTCCAATAATTTAGACTAATAATTACGAAATTATTTAATGCACTATTATATAAAAATATTTAAATTGTTTTGTAAAATTTTGTTAGATTCTTTTTCAACAGAATTTATATAGTTAGAAATAAAATTAAAATAATTTTATAGGTGAAGTTGTTATATGTTAATTAGATAAGATGTGATATTTTAATGATGTCAATATGTTAATAAGAAACAAAAGAAATAAAATTTTCTTAGGAAAGTCTATTTTTTTTTAAAATATCACATATAAATAGAAGTTGTGACTTTTCTTTTAATATAATAGACACCGGTTGATTCTAACGGTTTTAGAAAGAAGGCACATAATGTTATATTAGATTGTGACATTATTTGATTCAAGTTTGAAATGATTTGTGTCTAATATTAAGGGTAGCTAGACGTAAGCTACCGGCCTAACATGTTAACTGTCTGGAGTTAGATCCAAATTGGTTAACAACAACTTTATTTTAGAAAGTGTGATAAACAAATTTACGCTGTATGGTGCTCGCAATCAGTCCTTACCGCTAACGAGGACTGGGGCGGATCCAAATATCTAAGAAATTTGAAGTATCCAGATTTGGATTTGTGTCTTCTAGATATCCGGACTTCGGATATCCGTCTAGAAATTGTGATATGTGCGGATATCTGGATACAGATTCGTATCCGTATAAATAATTAAAAAAACTAAAAAATCAATTTTATTAAAATAATACATAAATTAAATATTTATGCATAATTTATGAATATATATGACATATAATATTATTAATATTAAAATAGAATATTATAAAATTATTTTATATATTAATCTTAATATATCAGATATAATTAATAATAAAATAAAAAATTTAATATATTTTTTAAAATACGGATCCGAATCCGGATATCCGGACCTAAAAATTAAGATATCCGGATCCGGATTCGGTTTGCACGGATCCGAGATTTTACTATCCAGATTCGGATCCGGGCACCTCCGGATATCCTAATTTTGGAATGGATCCGGATCGGATCTCGGATCGGATCCGGATCCCGGATAAAGTCCCAGAACTACCACTAAAATACCATAACTTACTATTCTCACCATTTTATTTTAGTTATCATTTTAAAATTTTGCATGCAGATTAAGAAAACATTCAATTTTCCATATTTTTCAAAATAAAAATAGAATAACCAATACACCTAATTACATTTTAACCAATGAAAAAATATAAAACATATAAAGTTAATAAATTTTGCATTGAAATTATTAAACAACACTTATTTTGAAACAAAAATATTCTTTACAATAATAAGTAAATCGAAATTGAGGGAACAATTGTTTATAATTCATGTTATGATGTCCTATAGCTGCAATCAAAATTCACATTCTAAAACCATGTACAATGAGGGTGTTGAAATTGTTTTCAACAGTTGAAAATCTTACAATGAGGGTGTTGATAAATTTGGTTTATCTATATGGCATAAACACATGTTGTAAAGTTTCAATAGTTGAAAGTTTTTTTTGTGGTCCACACCTGCCACATGTCATTTTCTGATTGGTTGTGCAGATTTCTTTTGTTTTTTATTCTCACCTAATAATTCAAACGTATTTTTATATAATAAAACTTTTTTAAAAAATATTAAAATTGTATCAAAATTTAAGATGTTTGCTTTATCTATAAATAGAGACTACTCTCACTTAATTTTTGGTTCGCAGGTGCTACTCCGAAATTCTCCTTTATTGTTTGGACTGCGGTTCTAAATAGGCTTGCAACAGGTGATAGGATTCTTCGCTGGAACTCTCAAGCTATTGCTACGTGTTGGCTCTGCAATAGGATAACTGAGACTAGAGACCATTTGTTTTTTAACTGTCTCTACTCTAAAGAAGTCTGGAAAGGTGTCATTGGTAATATTGCAGGCTCTAGAAATGTCAATCAATGGTCTCAGTTGTTTCCGATCTTGGTTAAGGGTCTTCATGATAGGGATTTGACCTTCCTTCTTAGATATTGTTTCCAGGTTGTTGTTTATGCCTTATGGCACGAGAGGAATGTCCGCAGGATTGGTGATCCCTCTCTACCAGCTAGGTGCTTAATTACTCGTTTGGATAAAGTGATTAGGAACAGAATTACCTCCTTACAAAAGATGCCTGGGAGGAAGTTTGAGAGGACTATGGCAATTTGGTTTGAGAGAAGATAGGGTTGGTTTCTATTTACGTTTGGCTGGGAGCTTGGGGTTGGTCGGTTTTTTGGATGGTTGGAAGTCTGGTTGAGGTCTGTGCGGGTTTTGATCTTTTGGGTTTATCTTTTCCTCTATACACCCCTCTGATCATAATGATGATTACTCTTTTTCCTTGCTAAAGGTTTGTCCCATTCTGGGTTTACTTTGGCAAGGTTTTAATGAGGATTGTCTTATGATCCTTCCAAAATATTTTACTTGTTTCACATGGTAAAATTTGAGGAGGGGTGTTAAGATGGTTTCTTTCTTCTTCTTGGCTTTTTTGGTTTTCTTTTTATTCTGTGGAGCAGCTTGTTTTGCTCTTTTTATTATGGAGGCACTTTTGTGTAACAAGGTTTTTTTTTGTTTGAATAAATTTAAAATTCTTTCAAAAAAAAAAAAAAGAAAAATGTCATTTTTCAGTATAATCAATATTTTGTGTTTTTTTTTGTTAAATAAATCTTAATAATAATCTTTTTAGCACTCAAAACTCTTTTAATGTTCCATTTAACTTCCAAAATCCCTAAAATTATCAGTTTCAAAACCAAACTTTCAACCAACCAGAATTTTCATCCACTTAGTTTTTTATAAACAGAAACTCATTTTCCCATAGTTGTACCAATAAAACAAATTTCATCTTATAAAAATATCAATGGATCCATCAGAATTTCTTTTCGATAATAAGTGTACAAAAATTGCGTGAACTTGAAGTTAGTTATACCGTACACCAGTTCTTAATTTTAATTGTTTTATTAATATTAATTTTGGTTTTATTTAAAAAGTAATAAGTCTAATAATTCAAAATAAATATTATTAAAAATTATTTTATTTTAGTTTTTAAGTTAATTATTAATATGTAATTATTAGGTTGTAAAAACAAAAATAAAAATTAAAAGTTGTGGAGGTAAAGTGTTGAATTTTTTAGAACAAACCATTATAAAAGTTTAAAATGAAGCCAGTGTTGAATAAATTAGGTGGAGAAGAGAGAATATGATGTGAAATGCTAAAAGAGAAAAATGAGGGTGTTAAAAATGGAGAAGGTCTTGAAACCACTGTACATGATCTAAGAAAATTCCAATATTCTTTTTTCAACATATTTTTATTAAATGTATCTGATGATAGTAATAAAATTAAGTTTTACAAATATAAGTGCAGAGACACACTGTGCCTCCTAAACACCAGCCAGATGCATTATACTGGGCTTTACACCGATCATCACATGGTTTAGCTTGGCAAATTTCTGGTCCTCTAATATAATCATGACACATTTCTTGTCCTTGAGACTCCATCACCGTCCCTAAAGATAAATATTGAAAACATGTATTAGCATCATCTTTATGTTGTTTTACGTTAAAAAGGTTACGAAGAAATTAAACATTATCAAATAAAGGAGAAAATATAGAAATTGTAATACTCTTAATATAGTCAAGTGTAAAACAAACCTAAAACAAGAAGAACCATGAAAATAGCAAGAATCGTGGTTTTGACCATTTTTTGATGATGCAACGAAAGGTGAAAATTTTAAAATAAAGAAAAAGTGATGAGGTTGTATTGCATTTATGAATATCTTATATGCCAAATTAGTTGTGTACATATTTTCAAAAGTACCACAAATTGAAAAATATAGAAAAAAATGAGAGTCAACTTGTAATAAATAAAATGACTTAGACTAAAAATAACGGAAAACAAATAGAAAAATATCTAAAAATTAATTAGAACTAATAGAATTTAGAGCAAGGTAAGTCAATATATGATCATTATCAGTTGATTTTGAATTTTAAACTTCCAAATTTAATAGAATGGAATAGAAGATTAGATTGTTGGTTTTAATAAGTGCTCTAGATAGAATTTAGAGCAAGGTAAATCAATATATGTTCATTATCAGTTGACTTTGAATTTTAAACTTCCAAATTTAATAGAGTGGAATAGAAGATTAGATTGTTCGTTTAAATAGGTTCTCTAGATAGAAATAACCAATTTGTTAAACTATACCATTTAATAGAAGTTTGACTAAAAAGAATGTTGCTATTGTTTTTTTTTGTTGAAAAAAGAGCTATTATTGTTATTCTTTCTTTTTTTTACCTTCTATAGTTGTACCTTTTTTGTCGGTTATTGTGATAATGTTATTCATGTTCCATTTAAAATGAAGAGTTTTTTACATTGTAAGGCAGTTTTGAGTTTTTAATAACACTATAGGGCAGTTTGTGCTATTGAGGTAGTTTTTTGTAACTACAAACTAACTAAATTCATTCTCCTAACAAAATGGACCCCACAGTTTTAATGTATCTTCTTTCTCTCTTCGTAACTTTTTATTAATTCCTTCTCCTAACAAAAGAATCTGAGTAACAATGACTTTAAAATGATAAAAGAGGATAAAGATGAAGATTTGGTCTTTCTAAGATTATTTGGTCAGATTCTTGTTGCACAGTCTTCATCTGAACAAATCTCTTGCCCCAAACGCTTCTCTTCGTGTCTTTCTTTGTCATTTCTCCCGATGCGTTGATTCATCTCGTCATCTCTTTTGTTCCATTTCAACATTTTTCCCGGCTTATTGACTTCATCTCTCTCGCCGTCACAATGCTGTAGAAGCTTGAAAATATCAATGGCCATTTTTGGCTTTTTTACACCTTTGGTCCTTAAAATTTTGTATAATTTTATTTTTTACCCAAAACTTTTTTGCTTTCATTTTTGCATCCAAAAACTTTTAAAAATAAACAATTATATCTTTGATTTAGCTCGAACTTAACCAACTATATATATTACAATCCTCTGTTAAAACTAAAATAATTAAGCAATATATGCACATAATTAAATGCATTAGAAAGTAAATAAACTAAAATAAAACCTAAAAATCAGTAGATATGAATGACACACAAAATCATGTGTACACATATTGTCATGTACACCATTTTCAGTTTGACTTTATCTATTTACTATGTATTTTGTTTTTTTTTTAATAAGCAATCGTCAAATTCACCTATGGGTGTACAATTTCTTCATGTATATTGATTCATTTCAATGTACACGTGTACTCGTCATTAAGTGTACACAAAATAACTTGTCCAATTTGTCTCAAACTTCTAATATGTTCAAATTTCTTCATAAATTTTCCTAGAGACTTTTAAATGTGCTATCTGGACCAATTTGTTTTTGCCTCATTGGTCCATGTCATGTCGTTTTATTTCATTTATGCCCCATACATTTCTGATTTGCAAATAAATCTTTTCTATTTGGATCCAAACTTTCAAATATGCATTCTAGCCTTCGTATGTGTAAATGAGCACACAAATATCGTCAACGTGTACACATATATTATATTGTACATGTGTACAATATTATATGAAGTGATAGATGTACACAAACTCATTTGTACATTTCTCAAATTATGATATTTAATAATTTTAATGATTTTGAATATAGTTACTATGTATTTTGTTTTTTTTTTTAATAAGCAATCGTCAAATTCACCTATGGGTGTACAATTTCTTCACGTATATTGATTCATTTCAATGTACATGTGTACTCGTCATTAAGTGTACACAAAATAACTTGTCCAATTTGTCTCAAACTTCTAATATGTTCAAATTTCTTCATAAATTTTCCTAGAGACTTTTAAATGTGCTATTTGGACCAATTTGTTTTTGCCTCATTGGTCCATGTCATGTCGTTTTATTTCATTTATGCCCCATACATTTCTGATTTGCAAATAAATCTTTTCTATTTGGATCCAAACTTTCAAATATGCATTCTAGCCTCCGTATGTGTAAATGAGCACACAAATATCGTCAACGTGTACACATATATTATATTGTACATGTGTACAATATTATATGAAGTGATAGATGTACACAAACTCATTTGTACATTTCTCAAATTATGATATTTAATAATTTTAATGATTTTGAATATAGTTACTAAAAAGATGCATTTAGAGGTTTTTGGTACATTTATTTGTTCATTTCATTTTATAAGGTTTAAAAAGCAAATTTCAAGTTAATTGAAGAGGACTTATTTTCAAATCTGAAAGTTTTAGGGTAATAGTGAAAATATTTAAAAATGTAAGGACTACATATGAAAATTAAAGAAATTTAATTTCAAGATTCAACAATGGCGATTCAATTTCAGATGCAGCGGCGACTTCCTTTTACGGTCCACCGGAGGCACGAAGAGAGGATGATATCACCACGAAAATCTCTTTGGACACCATGAAAAAAAGGCTGAGGACATGATATTGAAGCTTCTCATCGGTCTTGATATATTACAGAAAAAAATATATGTGTAGAAGAAAGATAACTATGGTTTGTGATGATAAATCGGTTTTGTATTCGTGACTTAATCTGAATTTTGTAGAGATTATCTTTAGAAAAAAATAATTGAAAATCAAAGATTTTAAAATGGAAAAGCTGAAAAATTTTCAGAGAAAAGGGAAGAAAAAATAAGAGAAAGACAAATAGTAAATCACGAAGATAAAAGAAAGAGAGGAAAATGGATCCTACCACTTACAATAGAGTTATGTTATAACTTGCAAAATTGAACGAGATGTGTTGAAGTTAGGAAAAAGTGTGTCTGTAGTATAAACTGTCTTATTGTGATATAAAAAACTTAAAACTGCCTTTCAGTGTAATTATTTCTAAAATGAAATGCAATGTATTTTATTACCAACTAGTCAATCAGCAAGTTAGAATTTCAATAAAAACATCTCTTATATTATTTGAGAATCATTTTATTTACACAATCTTAATAGTACCTACTATCTATAAGTTTACCAAGATCCTTGGCTTCCTTATTTAAGTTCATAATGGAGTGAAAAACTCATATCCGGTGAATAACGAGCTTCTTTGATCAAACGCATCATTTCATCAACTTTTGAATATATCTCAACCATTTTCAGATGTCTTCTATCTTCAAACATGAAACTACGAACTTTACCTTTTTCCGTTTTCTATATTCCCATGCTTCTTGCTTGCAGCCAAAAACACTTTCCATACAGTTGCATCTGATTGAGAAATTCCTCTGCTTTGGTGAAATCACCAGATCTTCCATAGAGATCTAATGTAGTCTGGTGTTATGCCACTGCCTATCATCAACATGTATGATTGCAGCGAGTCCTTGGCTTTGCCGTTTTTCGCATAACCCATAATTAGAGCTTCCACACTTTATGTACATTGTCACAAGTGAGTTATCTACTGATAAAGATGAAGGGAATCCAGATTTAATATAACTTCCATGTACTTGTTGCCCAAACTCCAGAAGAGTTAACTCCGCTGAGGCGCTTAATAATAAACTGATCAGGAGAAACGACCCCTTCAGCCCTCATCTTACAGAATAACTTCAATGCTTCTTCATAAGATCTGTTGTGAGTATTGCCTGTGCTGAGCAGTCCAAGAAATCACATCTTTTTCAATCATCCCTCCAAACACTTTCACCGCTGAATCAATGATTCCTCTTTTAGCATACATATCAACAAGAGCGTTATTCACCTCTTGTAAGTTTCATGTCCAGTTTTCACAATCAGACAATGTGCAAAAGATGATATCTTTGTACCTAAAATTTTTAAAATAGATGGGATTGTGAAGTCATCTATCTTCGTATCCAGCTCATGCATTCTTCCGAACAAAGAAATAGCTTCTTATTTAAGACCCTCTCTAACACAATCAACAACCATCGAGTTCTAGGAAACCACATCATCAACTTCTAATCTTCTCTTGCAGTTGCAAAATCCTATGAAGCAAACAAAGCGAAGAACACATCCTATGAACACTGCCCAAAGCGTACTCATCAGGGTTTCTTCCATAAAACTGCATTTCGCAAAACAAACTGAAAGCTTCTTCTTCACTTCCATACTTACAATATCCAGAGACTAAAGCACTCCAGGGGATTGAATTCTTCATGGGGTTTCTAAGAAAAAAGGCTGTTTCACTAGCAAGTCTTCCTGATAAAAAATAGTATGATGTAATTCGTATTTCTCTCTCAATGTAACCTACAAAGTAACTCTTAAATCCTTTTACAAAGTGAAGATCAATTTCTTAAGCAAAGTACTTAAGAGAACCTGAGAATACAATTCCTCAAAGCCCTTTACAATATGACTCATGACTCTTATTTATAGTATCGACACAACGCCGTCACTGCAACTGCTTATCTCTAACGGCCATAACCAACTCTTCAATAAGCCGTTAGACTAAGTCTTGATCAGCGTATCACTTCTTCGGTAGATTTTTTTTCACCGTTCACAACACCCTACACTCTCTTGCGATAACAGACTCCCCAACTCTTATCAATACCCCCTTCGGTGAGAGCAAGCTTGTCCTCAAGCTCAAAGTTTGGAAAATATCTGGCAATGTCCTTCACTTGAACCCACGAGCTCTCATGGACCGGTAACCCTTTCGAACAAACCAGAGCCTCCAAATGAGTTTCTGCATCATAACGAGTACTCTGTAAATGTTCTGGTTGCAGGACAATATCTTCATTCTCCCCCAACACCTCCAGTAATG